TCCAAGCACAACAGGTGAGACAAATGCCCGGTCGAGGCTACTAGCACCAACTGTGATGACCCATGGAGCTGGATTTGACAATGTAGCTGGGGCAGGGCCAGAGTTCCCAGCACTACATGCCACCACAATGTTCTTCTTAGTAGCATGCAATGCTCCAATAGAAATGCCATCACTTGTGTAATTGACAGGTTGACTTGTGCCAATTGATATGCTCAGTACATCAACACCATCACCTATGGCATCGTCAATGGCTGCAAACATGTCTTCTTCAAAGCATGTGTTTCCATCAACCTTGGACTGGCCTGGTATTGCCCAGCACACTTTGTATATGGCAAGGTGTGCCAATGGGGCACCGCCAGAGGCAGTGCCACGGGCAAAACCCCCTAGGGCCGAGGCGTTGGGAACGAGCCGTCCTGCCACGGTGGAGCTTGTGTGTGTGCCATGGCCATCCATGTCACGTGGTGATCGGTAGTCCTCTGAGGCATTTAGAGGGCCGTAGTAGTGCTCGAATCCTTTGAGGTAGTAGCGAGCTCCTACGAGCTTCCTGCAAGACAAGTCATCAAGGGTGAACTATGTGTCATATACTTGTGATTTTAAGCACAATGTTTGATTATTTCTTAGTTAGTTTCACTAGCTGCAATGAAATTCCAAGTTCCACACTCAGTTAAAATTGTTAGAAATAATTATACCAATGGGGCTTTGCTACAAGTAACAACTGTACACATTATTGGCTACAAACTAACGATAGGTCAAAAAAAATGGAAAAGCTGGTTAGGCCAAATATGTCGTTCCTTTGAGTTTAATTTGGTCACTATAGTCTATAGTTTGTAAATTGTTTCAATTCAAGGAGATCTCTACACGAAATTACCGATAGTTGAGGGATCTTCTCGAATTAAAACAATTTGGAAACTACATGAACTAAATATGATGCAATTGAAAATATAAATATGAGAGTGAAACTTATGAAAACTACAGCCACTAAAATCATGATTTAGATAACACAAGTGAGCAAACACCACTGAACTGCCCAATTGAAGTGGTTTCTTTCTCTGAGAAGAAAAATAGTTTGAGAACTGTGCATAAATAATTGGAAACTGGCATGGGGTCCATATTGGTTTTAGGGTCACTTTCCGATCCCCTCTATAGGCTAAGCAAATGCCTGGAAGTCCAGGGTCACAGGGTACCAGACAAAAGTTCACAAGATGTGAAACAAAAGCATCCAAAGTAGAATTAAATCAGTTGTTTGTTTGATTGAAAGAAACAAGCAAGGAATCATGGATGCAGGCCCAGAAATACTTTTGAATTTTCAGTGTTCAATAATCCCAGACAAGTATTTATCAATTATGCAAGTCAAGTGGCCAGAAATATTTATCCCAGAAATACTTTAAAATTTTCATTTTCAATTATCCCAGACAGGTATCTATCAATTATGCAAGTCACTGGAAAATGCTTTCTTTCATGCAATGGAAGGAAAGGTACAAGATGAACATGCATGCCAGCCAGGCCAACCAAAAATCTACTGCTATCTTGATTTGTTTGTACATGAACCAATTTTATTATTTGTTATATAAAGAAGGATATATTTTTTAATCTAATCAGTGATTAAAACTCTAATTCCTTGGTATCAGCAAAGGTTTCTCATTTCATTTACATTCCCAAAACTTACACTTCTGCAGAACCCATTTCTGTCAAAATATCCAGGAGCTAAAAAACTCAAAGTCAAAAGATTTGAGTTATTTTTTTTAGCATTTTTCTATTGTAAATTTTCCAAGTCAAAAGATTGGAACTTGGAAGGCATGCAATACTATTGGTTCCTTCTTGACCCATCTCATGTTCTCTAGTGTGGTGGGGTCTAGGTCTAGGTCGAGCTAGGCTTCTAGGGTAAAAATCTTTCCGCACTAGAATCACCAAGTCAGAAAATTAAGTGGCCGCTGGAGAAGTATTTCCTCAAGAGAGAGAAAAAACATAGAAGTTAAATATGTGTTTCAAAGCGCAAAGTCAGCCATATGTTATGGAATTAAAATCACTTCAAATGTAAACTCTAATTGCCTAAATGGCTGAGACCAGCACAATTAGCTGTCCAGAAAAATGGCTACATATCAAAGAAAGTAGATGGAAGGAAGGAAATTAACAATTAAATTTAACAAACTCACCTGTTACAGTGAGATGAATTGAAACCAGGTCCAGATTGGCAGATTCCCTTCCATGATTTTGGAATGGGTCCCATTCCTTCATCACTAAAGCTCTTCGATTCTGGCCAGACACCTGATCACAATATCAATCACATCATCATCACATGCACCCAATCGTACCCTCTTTTCTTTGGGAAACACTTGTGTAGAATGGAGATAACACTGTTTTGCTATTTGCGACCAATCACAGTGTGCCACGTGCAATAACTGTTTCATCCGGCATGTCGGGATAGCAAAACAATGTTATATCACACAAGTTTGTCTGCTTCCCAGACACACAAACACAAAGGAACTCACATGTGAAAATAGTCACTGGACAACAGAACAGAAGTCACATATGAAATTGTTTGATTATATTGATGTTTTTTTAATAGTTTCTTTACCACTGTCAAGAACCCCAACTATGATGTCCTTGCCAAATCTGGCTTTGGATAAGAAGTCTCCTCCCATCTTGTTGCTTGTCCAATGCCTCTCTTCCTCTTCTATTATGCCTACAAACTCCCATGACCTTGTGGTGTGCATAGAGTACTTTTTTGGGTGGCTAGCCCACACAGATACAACTTCTTCCAACTCTGCACATAACATTAATTTCTGCAGTATTAGAAACAGAGAGGGAAGAAGGGTTTTTCTTTTTAATTAAGCAAATCCTGAACGTGAGTTTGATTGTTTTGGTTTACCAGATAACTGGGAAGCTTCATCTTGAGTGAGCACTGCTGCAAAGCCATTGATGCTGTGCTTGTAGCTGTAAAGCAGAGAAGCTCTGGCTTCTTCCTCTGTTTCTTTCACAGAGAGCAAATATGAGTGATGTGTGTCCTCAATTTCATGCAGAGCTTTTTCTCCACTGTGCTCACCAAAGTACACTATGTAGACCTGTCATAACCAAACTCCACCACTATAAGAATTGCAAAGCAAAAAGATGAATATAAAATGGAGCAAAAACAGATTTCCATAGCCAAAAGAAGAATGACCTGTTTTTGTTCTGCACATGAGGCTAAGAGAGGAAGGAGAAGGAGAGAGAAGATGAAAAATATCTTCATTGGTACTGTTGAAGATTGTAGTGCATGCAATCCTGGACTGATCATAAGTGCTTATATAAGTTAAAGAATCTAAAACCAAATTCTTATCTCTATATCAAAAGGCCCCTCATTTTTAGAGTAGGGACCTATATGAAATTTTGTATACATATACAATTATATTATAGATGTATGTTTCCTACTGGCACTCATCTGGAGTGTTTACTTTATACTGGACTCTTCTTTACAGGATTAGTCGACTATTATTAGTATTTTTTTTTCGGTTATCAAGAATAAACAAAAAACAAAAGAAGTTTGACTCTTATCAAAACTGCTAATTGCATCTAATAAGTGTTTAAAATGAATCTATCCATCCAAAATTCCAAACTAATCCAATCCAATCCAATCCAATTATATCGATTTCAATGACTTCGAGCAAGATGGAGGTCCTATAAATTCATACACCAATATGATTGGATAGGTTTGCAGGTTTCTCCGTGAAAATTCGTTGGGTTGTGCACCTTTTTTTAAGGTCTGGTTGTAAGTGTCATATGTGTGGCACAAAAGTATGTGGTTCGCATTTGGTTCTCTGCAACAAAAAAAATTATGTTTCAAACTTATTTCTCTTAATCCAAGCTCGGATTAAATGTTCCTACAAAGAATAATATTCGAAACATTAGATGAAGACAAAGACAAAGACAAAAGGGTAAAACCTTTTCAATTAAAGAACTTATTCTCTTTGCATCATGGACATATTAACTGTTCACTATGTCATCATTGAGCTTAATCTGTTCAAATTCTAGCAATCATAATCGATAGGAAAAAGAATTGTCTTCGTGGGTCCGAATAAGTTTTCAGTCACAAAAATGATACAAGCAAATTTTAAAGTAAAATATATTTGTGTAGAGGGTGCTTAGGCCTTAGAGGGGGAGCTCCACTTGGGTGAGAGTGGGGGTTGGGATTTGAATTTGGATTTGGATTTTGTTAGAAGTCTAAATTAAAAAATATATATTTGTGGGCTCAAAAGGAACCCAAAATTTCAAGGCATGCATGCACACGCAACAAGGTCACAGCCGATGGATTTGCCTGGATCATTGTACCAATTGGCCCATGCTTACAAGTTGCAACTAGCAGGCTAGCAGCATTGTCAATTACAAACTAATAATTCTCCCATGCTCTCATATCTGAGAATTGGTGATCCCTTGCATCTCACGTTTCTTCTTGCCACCACTCACCTTGTTATAACTTTTTTCCAAGGTTTGAATATTATAGAACTTTCCAACTTTATATATATAGACGGTTCATATCATTAAAATACAATATCGGGTGGATCCTACAAAGGTGTTCATGCTGAATGGCTTCTAAGATTTCACTCCTCTTTGAAATCTGCTCGTATGGATGACCTATATTATATGCATGCATTAGAAAGACATGGTACGTCCATTTCAAGAATGTCAAATGGTGGGCTGCTCCACTATGGGATTGTGGTCACTGCTTTGCTTTGCTACTTGGTTGAAACTTGAGCCCTTCTCTATGTTTATAGCTAATGACCCATAAGCTATAGGGGTTCATGGTATATGGGGAAGCTACCAAATTACAGTTGGGACTTAATATTTGGGGAAAAAAAGACTTGGCTTCAAAAGTCAGAGAAAATAAGATAAGAAAAACAGAGCCTGATCTATAGGCTATGCCAGCCTGCTAAAGTATGAAAGCTAATCAAACAACAAGCATAGTTGAAAATTTTGGATTAATGTGACAGGAACCATATCGATTTATTTTTTCTTCCTTTCAGCTTTGTTCAAATTTAATGAATAATCTGAATATTTATATGTGCAATATCTTGTTTTCTTCTAGCTACAGAAGCAATGTTTTGTGGATCTCAAAACCCGTCTAGCTAGTCGAGTTGGAAATTGTAGGGGAAGAAATTGGTGTGTATTTGTGAAAAAAATCTTGCAACTAATGTCACAGCAAAACCATGCTATCTGGATCTCAATGCTTGGTTCTGCACCTTTTGGCTTGAGCAGCATTGGAATTAGGCTGTCATATGATGAACTCCGTTATGAACCCTCAGCCAGCTCTTTCAAGAGAGTGACAATGTCATCCGATGATCCAAGGAGATATCGTGCACTCGATCTCTTTCGTCCAACAGCACAAGAGAAGTAATTGTCACCTTTGAGGTCAAGCACTGAAGAACCTTCATGCAGAGACATTTTATCACGCATTAGTGTTGGCCTCCAAGCATTCCCAATTCCATGAACCGTAGCTCTCTTTTCCAAAGTTGACAAGGACCGTTGTTTCTTAAGGCGAGCTGCTCTGGAACCACTTTTAGTTGTGGAAATCCTTGGCACAGATGTCATGGCAGGATTGGCTGCCATAGGTCTAGGAACAGTTGGTGGTGCCTCAGAAGGAAGCTCTGGTTCAAAAAATGTGTAGACATCTTCGTCCTAAAGCAACAAATCCAAGTGCGTGACAAACTCTTCAACTATTAAAAATTCTATGGCAAAAATGATGATTAGGTCAATAAGTCAAGAAGAAACGGACCTTTGGTAGGAAGTGCCCAATACACAGGACATAATCAATTGGTGCTTTCATGCCTTTGTTATGGACTATTTCTCCTAAAATACGATCAATCGCTGCACCCTGAAAATACATGGAAGCAACACATAGGGTCAACAAACAGGACCATCAGGTTGATCTAAAATATGGAAATAGGACTCCCATCTAATTAAAATGCATGTACCTTTGTAACACCAACTGCTCGGACCTCCACGGATCGACCACCTTGGACGACATCAACAGATGCATTTGAGATTGGGCCTGTCCACAGATGCTGCAGCAGATCTCTTGCTTGGAGCCTTCCAAACTCAATGTCTAATATTATAGAAATAGTGGCAATAAGTTTATAATGGAGGAAACAAAAATGTAGCAGTATCACAGATTTAACCAAAATCAAAAAACTATAATAAGAAGAAAGACAACGACTCTGCTACCTGCATACTTGTAGTTCCATACAAGTGAAGTTTCACGAAGCTCAAAATGAGACCGCGGCGTTCTCTCAGTAAAATACTCAAAAACATGCTGAAATCCAGAACAAATGTCAGAAATTTCAATTTACAAATGAAATTCATTCCGAAGGCAATGAAGACTGTTATATAATTGCTATATGAACCTTTACGCTGTCGACCCAATCCATATTTAAATTTTCTGGCATTGTTGTCATCCATTCTCCCATTGTAAGACGTAGGAACATCCCGTTTTCTGCTGCCAGCCACATGTTGTAGTCACCGAAGTTCTGCATAGCAAGTTGTTAGTCCAAAAGTATAACAAGCAAGGGGCCGGAAACAAAGAATTGCTGAAGAAGGTAACGGTACATCATCCAAGACGCTTCTGTCACTTCCGCTGAGGACAACAATTGTTGTCTTTGAGTCATCACAAAGCTTTTTCAAGGGTTCCTTGAGATCTGGATGCAATTTAAGTTCCATTTCTCTAATTTGACCACCCCTTCTCCCGAGGGTGTCCTTTGGTTCAGTCAAAGTGGCATTGAATCCCTGCAATGGAAGCACAGTGACGATGAAGATGAAGAAGATAATCTAAATTCGGGCCTAGAAACCCCTTCTGCAATCCAAATCATTAATTGCTACAACCATTTTAAATTGGAGTAGATTTGTGAAAACTTGCTTGTTTTCACATATAAGCAAAAGGGGGGCAAGCACAAGCTTGTAGGGTAATTTTGAGTTAGTAAAATTGACAGATTTTTTAACCCATTGAAAATAATGTTATTCTGACATTGTTTCAACTACTTGTACTTGTGCAAGTAAAAATCAAGTATGCTCCAAGAAAGAGTTGCCCACAAAAGAGTCTTGAATATACATTTATGTCATGACATGTCCTACTTAATTTCCACGTTCTAAATAACAAATTCAACTTCCAGTAATGAAAAAGAAGAAAAAAAGCATTGAGAGCATACCAGTATAAGTAATCGATTGCTGGATTGCAAATAACGATCAACTGCTACTTGGATTGGAAGTAAAGGAGGAACTTGTCTCGTCCTTAGTTGAGCTTCAACAATTGTGTCATTGAGTTCGCTACATAAATGAAAAATTCACCATTAAGCATGAACTTGAAGAAACGGGGAAAGAAATAGAGTGGAAAAGCTATGTAATAGCAGAATACTATTTTTGAATTAAACATCTATTGCCCTTTAATCACTTTTCTTATCTAGTGTTTTCACAATTAGCTTCAAAAGGAAAATACACGAGCATAGTATAACAATCTATATATATATATTACAGCACCATGATTCGATCAACACCTTACAAAGGTTGCAGCCCACTCCTGAGACGTGTGAGTTGTTACATGCATGAAGTTATGATGGTGACGCTTTTCTCTTTCATCAGCTGGCATATTTAAAGCATAACCTATGGAAGCAGCTACTTCTGTGACATTCCACGGGTTCACTAATATAGCCCCTGCACCAAGTGACTGTGCTGCACCTGCAAACTAGAAATGAGCAGAACAATCAGAACAGAAATTGCAACTTAAACAACTATGACTGTAATGTTTAGTGACTACAACTTGATAAATCTTGTATCCATACAATTAGAAGATTTTATTGTGATGGGTTAAAAGAGAAGCTAAGACACCGCTAAAGTTCTTCCTCCTGCTTCCAAACAGCAAACGTCAAGTAAGGTAATATTTCTACAAACCCCTGAAACAGGATTTAATCCTTTTATCCACCATCATATTGCTTACCGACATTTAAGGTCACATTTGCCTAGTTTCTGGAAACCTTGAAACGGTCTAGCTTTTACTGGAAGAAGCCATATGGATCTCTCTCTCTCTCTCTCTCTCTCTCTCAAGTGTTTTTTTTTTTTGGGGGGGTTTCATTTGGAACAATATAATCAAAACTGAATCATGGGATTTTAAGTTACCTCACTTAGAATGAGAACTCCTTTCTTGGAAGCTTGGCAAGCAACAAACTCATAGCTCACAAGATTCATTCCATCCCTTAAAGATGTAACAAGGGCTACATCTGAAAATAGTAGTCAAAGAAATAAAGGAATATTACCCATGCAAAGTCGAAGTACATAAACCATGTTAAAGCATGACAACCTAAAGTTTGGATAAAGCAAAACATAAAATCATTTTTTTCCTAAGTAGAGAGGGCAGGGAAAGGTGTTTGCCCTTCTACAGAAATGGAGACGTCCAGTTGTTAATACACACCATCCATGGCCTGGTCCTACATGGGCCACCCACATTTAGATAGATAGTGCGCCCTGTAATCAACCCTCTCCATTTCAAAGTCGGATCCAGAAGAACATGCATGCAGTGCATCCATTTTGGAGGAACTGCTACACTTCAACTATCAGCATATAGTGCATTTTTATTTTTGTTGGCTAGAAATTGAAGAAGTATTATTTCATTTAACACTTTAAATGCCTCGGCCACCTCATATTGGGATAAACAAAGATTATCCAGTGGTTTGTCAAAAGAGGCAACACTTCAGAAAATTTATTAATCATTAAAGACAACAATGATTAATGCAGTGAGTGTTACGGCACAAAAATGAGTACCAGTAACAGCGTATAGTGCACATAATGCGTGAAAGTCAAGAGATCGATCCTGTAAATAAAGAAGAAGATGCTTCAGAAGTCTTCACATACGATATGAGTTAAGAACACAAGTTGAAAGAGGAAATTTATGAGAAAAAGAGCCAAAGTCTCAATCATTAACATGATGGTAGTCTAATTTTAGCTTCACATCTCCCACACAGCTTCATAAATTTCTGGAACTGACAAGCCAACTTAGACAATTCATAATTCAATCCCACACAGCCAATCAACGAAATCTCTTGTTCCATTCTATATCTACTATTGTGAAAGATACTTTACAGATATAAAATTGGAAGTAAACAAGATAAATACAAACCAGATGATGTATTGGAACAGCAGTAAGAGTTCCAAACCTCCCATTAATGCGTCCAACAATCTCATGAACCTGGCTTGTGAGCTTTTGATCTGTGACAAAACCACATAGCATAAACGCATATCAGATTCTTCAAGGTGATATTGAATTTGAATTTTCATCGTAGGGCTATCAACGGAAGGACAAATTAGGGAAAAAGGGAGATCAAACCAAACATTGATGAGTACAAATGCAACAATTTATATATAAGTTCCATGCACTTGATATTCACACAAGTTAGTGCATTTAAGTTGTAGAAAGCTTATTGAAAGATATACTCTGAATTCTTAATGTACACATTTTTGTCTGACTGTCGTACATACTCCTGTAATAACTAAAGACTTTTAAGATAATACATATACAGCAGGCCAAGTGGGCCAAAAAACCTAGAAAACAATGAAAAAACTGTTAATACACATGCATCGTAAAACTCATGCTCTAAGTTGCAGAAGGATGTACCACAGTAACAGATTAATCTGAATACTATTTATATTACAGACAGTAATTAGAAATTCAGTACTTCTGCACTAATCTAGAAATTATAATAATAAAGATCAATATTACATGGTAATATGATCCATTAACTGTCCAACTTCCCTATGAAGCAAGTAGTACAATAGAATAGAATAAATATGGAACACCATAAATGAATAAATACCAACTTAAGGCTTCAAATATATTGAGAAGGAACCTACACTCAGGAACGTCTGTTCTTGTCGGTACAGCAATTTGCAGCAAGACTACTTTATCACGCCAGTTCAAATTTTCCTCTAGAAATTTTTCAAACGCCAAAATCTTTTGAGGAATCCCCTTAATCATATCAAGACGATCAACGCCCAACATTACCTGTCAGTAGTTGACTGGAACAATTTAAGTATTTGAAAATGAAATGAACATGGGCAATGCAAGCTCGTAAAGGAAGGCCATGGACTCAGAATTGAAACCATTGGCACAGAACAAACTCGTTTGGTCATGTGTAGAACCATGAACAGAGGACACACTCATTAAGCAGCAGGCACAAGAACTAGGGTGAACAATGGCTGTGTTTCATGAGTATGCCTTACATAATAAGTTTAATGTAGAAGTTAAGATATAATGGCATAGGATGCAGTTCAATTAAAATCAGCAAAATAATGAAATGGTGATTTTAAATTTTAAGGGAAAATGTAGTAGTTCTTACCTTTCTGCCAGCAAATCTTTCTTTCAGTTCTTTCATGTGCTCCTGGACTTGAGGGAGTTCTAGAGCTCGAATGAAGCGATCTGAGTCTATCCCAATTGGAAACTATAGTTTCAAGGGGGTATCATGAGGATGACTAAGTGACGGAGAGTTCATATTGATAAAATTTTATATGCTGATAAAACATCTGATTAACCAGGTTAACAGATAACCATCTGGAAAATGAAAAAGTGAAAGCTTATACATACCGCAGCCACACGAGTCAGCTTTCCTTGATCCTCTACTCCTTCAGGTGTACCCTCTAAACCAAGAATACGAGTGCAAGCACTAACAAAATGCCTTGCATAATCATAGGTATGGAAACTGGAAGTTGAAAAATCCACCCATCAAAACTGGCGTGGTCTTCAGACATAACATAATATGATACCATACAGAACACATTTCACAACAGAATACTGACAGAATTTTATTGTGTAATGACAGTGTAATCTGTTCATAAGCAGGCAAAAAATAGGCTGCTTAAAATTTATTCACTATGCAAATTAAGGGCTATTGAATTTTCAGAATTAAAGTAGATAAAATTGGGGTGCCTGACAATAGGAAAACACTTCAATTAACTGTGAGATCTTAGGAAGGGTATGTGCAATGTAATCGTAAGTTACAGCTTGGATCAAGCTCCTTGAGAAACTTGACACGAGGCCTTGGATGTCACCATTGCAACAATTCTATTATTTCCAATTTCAAAACTGGAGGAAATCTGACGAACTATAGGTATAAAACCTCAAGTATCGCATAAGTAACTAATTAATTGTATGAGATATTATGCAGAAGAAGTAATAATAAAATGTGACAAGCATTTTGAAATACTTTTGTTGAAAATACATGTCTTACCCAACCAAATCAGCAGCAAGAACAGATCGCAACAATTCTGATCGAGATGGCAGTGTCCTATGTATTTCTGAGGAAGGAAAAGGTGTGTGGAGAAACCAACCAACTTTCATTTTGTTGTTATGTTCTTTCAGGCATTTAGGAAGAAACATGAGGTGGTAATCATGGCACCAAACAACATCTCCATCCAGGTAGTGTTTGTGCACAACATCAGCAAACATTTGGTTTGCCTTCTTATATGCATCAAACTGAGATTGGAAACTTCGGGTGGTTGCAAGGCGGTCTTCTTGTGGAAGTCCAAGATAATGGAAAAGTGGCCACAAGATGTTGTTACAATAACCATTGTAATATTGATGAACAATTTCTTCGTCAAGAAACACTGGGATGCACCTCTGCAATAAATAAATTAAAGTTTTTCTTCCTTGATGCATAATCAAACAACTTGTATGTGTGTGTGTGTGTGTGTGTGTGCACTTCACATGCCAGTGTGTCCGTGTTTTGAGGTACGTGGGAAGGAGACAGAGGTGACATTATAGATGGCCAGCTTATTAGCTTGAATTCTATGAAAATTTCAAGAGGAGATCAAGAGTTTTGAACCTTTTCAGCTAAAGCTTTAGTCAGTGCTTTTTGTCCAACACTATCAGGTACATTTACACCAGCCCAACCAATCCATCTTGCATCAAACTCCTTCACGCCTTCAAGAAAACAACAAAGCTTAATATAACCTTTGATTTATGCCATTATGGAATTTAACACATGCATTAAACAAATGAAGGAAAGACAAATGGTGCAAACACTATTATCTGTAAACCTAAAGTAAGCTCTTTGAGGTACTAAAAAGAACGCAAATAAAATAAAAAGGACAGCATGCACTGAAAACAAGAAGGATAAGACCAGATGATTATTGTCATTTACCTAAAAGTGCACTGACTAGCCCACCTACACTCATCTCAAGCTGCCATGAGTCCTCACCCTTCCTAACTGCAGAGACAGGTAACCTGTTAGCCACCACCAATAAACGTTGCTTAGGAGTCCGTCCCTCTTTCCATTCACATCCATCGGCAAAAGCTTTTGCCGCAGCAACCCCTTCCGGAAAATCTTCCTCACTAGATAGACCAAAATTTTCACCCTCAGTCAAAAAATTATCATTCCCTAAGAGTTCTGCCTGTCTGTTTCCATCTTCAGTTGGATGCAAAACGCGGTTTGATCTCCTTAGCTCTCTTTCCCTGAGAAGCCTTTCCAATCTACTTCTGGGTGTGGAAGGATTGCAGTTATAATTGTTTCCTGGCATATGCTTGTCCTGCAGGGAAGGCTGCAAGCAATTTGCAAATTGTTATAGGTGATTCCTACAATATTCATCTACTCATTCATGTTGTATATCAGCTCTCATACAGCAAACGTTTCTAGCTGATCATTTATTCATACTCAAATCACTTCAACACAGATACAACTAAAACTGAAAGCATTCAAATTGATACAACATATTTGTTAAGTGTGTAAGTCACACAAACAACGTGCATATATGCAAGCACAAGCAATCATCTTTCTTCTGTATTACCTATTTCTAAGCACATTTTCTATATTCAACCACTCATTTCAAATACTGCAATGGATGAAAGTGCTTGCCATAGCTTTGTTCGATTGTCTTCCTAGCTTAAAATAATCTTCAATATAGTTTTGTGGACAACAATTATGAACCAAGTAATAACAATTTAGCAGGAGGAGGATACTGCAGTAATTCAGATACTGTAAAGGAATTGACACTTCAGTGAATATCAGTGGACAGTGAAATCAAAATGGTAAAAGGAAATAGAATAAGTTAAACTATACACATTATCCAGAGTCCAAGAAATTGCAGAGATAAAAGACTCTTGATCCCAGCTAAAGTGATAACACGAATATGATTGTTATACTTCCGCACAGTAAATAAACTCAAGTAACAAACAAAAACAAAAACGCCCACAATAAAATATCACTTAAAAAAGAAAGAAATAAAAAAATCGCATGATCAAATTAAGGGCGCATGTCACGACAAAAATAAAATTCCGTCAAAATTACACAATGGTGCATATAATAAAAAAAACACAAGCCAAGAATCCTGGGAAAAAAAAACAATGCAACAATTCCAGGAAAGACAAAAACTTTATGAAATAAAATAGAAAATGGAAGAAACCCAATAAAGGAGTCTGACCGGAGAGTTATGCAGAATGCAGATCTCAGTTGGATTCAGATAGTGTGAGTCTCTCTCGCATTCAAGACGAAAATGTTAAGAGTGACCCTTACCCTGCTTTTTTTGGTTGTTTTTGTTGTTGAGAAGCGTTTTTGAAAAAAGGCAGAGGAGAGAGGCCAAGTGGATATAAACGTGGGAGCAAGTTGGCCAACCGATATTTTTGGGGGTGGCTGTGGTCACACCAAAAGATGCAGAAAAATCTCAAAAATCATTCAGATTGTGATGAATATGATTTTAGATGAAGATTATCCATATATAGCTCTAGTCACCGAAACGAAAAGGAAAAGAGGCAGAGCAGAGACATAGATTGTGTTTTTGTTTTTGTTTTTGTTTTTGTTTTTGTTTTGTCTTTGGTTTGGCCATGCAGTGCAGTGCAGATGAACTATGTTATATATATGTGCAGCTTAGGACTTAGCAGTGAACTATGTTTCTATGTGAATATAGCACAATATTTTATTATTAATATTATTTTTTAAAATTTTTTTATTGTACATTTCTTCTCTTGATTTAATGCAGAAAGTAAGGTAATAGTTTAAAGTATATGAAGGAAGATGTTATCCTACTCTAAAATAGTCATCATCCACTTCTTTTTTTAAAATTTCTTTAAAATAAAATAATAACATAAGAGTGTAAATTGAATATAATTTTCTTTTAAATACAAGCGATAATATGCCAAGAAAATATTAGAACCTCTAAAATCTTTCCTTTGATTGAAACACTTGGTCTGGTCTGGTTTCACTGTTCACGGAAGGCAGGTAGCAAATCTCACAAGTTGCACGTGTGAATAGGCCCCCAATACATCTAATATATAATATCGCAGGTCATTATCATAATCTTTTCAATTACGGTAGTACAGATAAGTGCGTACTTATTAGGGTGCAAAAAAAAAAACCGTAGCCATAAGCTTTTAGCCTCTAATGAGTTTAGATATTCCTTTTGTTCTTATTATACAAATTACAAAACCGACGAAAGCTACATAAAAAAAAATGACTATTGTCATTATGGTCTTTGAGTGTCCAAATTTCAATCGCTTTCAAAGCTATACAATTATTAATGATCATTTATTTATTTATTTATATAAGTAATATTGGAATAGGGGTATTCTTACACATGAACTCGGATACAAGAGTAACTACTCCGAATCACTTGAGTTACAAGCCCTTTTTATGTTTTTTTTTTTGTTGAGAAATTATGTAATTGCATTCATAATTTAGCCCAAAAAATCACTAGCCATAATGGGCCATTATAATAACGGAGTGATCTAACATCAAAATTAAGGCAATCTGACCATAAACCCTTCCATTTGACAATCAATTTCTATAAAAAAATTATTATAACGTAAAATTATACCATATGGACCACAACATACATATCCAATCCAACTTCCAAAGTGGTTCATTGGCAACCAAGTCAATCCCCTTCACTTTGTGGACTTGAATCATCAACACGATATTTCCAAAAAAATAAAAAAAGAACACAACCACAAAAACATAGAACGGAAAAGTTGGTGGGGGATATCCTCATCCAGATCTATATCGCATATTCTATTGGTTGTGTTGTGAACCATGCCAACATTCTCTAACGTTACGAGAATTCACAAGTTAAGACAAAAATAAATGGTTGAATATACCTGAAACCACGTGCCAGTACGGCCTTAACACCACACATAATATTTTTGTTTTGAATAATGTAAAATAGTTATACTATCTTCAATTTGTTATCTACTATCAAAATTACTTTTTTTTATATAAAAAAAATATATATCCACAAAGCCCAATAATGCAACTTTCCTTTGGGCTCATCACCAGCCCACAACCCGCCCTTCAGATTGTACCTGGGCCGTCCACTCCACCACCGGTGGGG